TACGCGACGTCGACATCCTCTCTCCGATACCGCTCTACCGACCAAAGTGGATACGCGACGTCGGGTTCCTATCCACACACCGTTCCGTCGACCGAAGTGGATACGCGACGTCGACATCCTTTCCTCGATACCGCTCAACCGACCGAAGTGGATACGCGACGTCGGTTTCCTAGTCACACACCGCTCCGTCGACCGAAGGGGATGCGCGACGTCGGTTTCCTATCCACACACCGCTCCGTCGACCGAAGTAGATACGCGACATCAACATCCTTTCCTCGATACCGCTCAACCGACCGAAGTGGGTGCGCGACGTCGGTTTCCTGTCCACACACCGGTCCGTCGACCGAAGTGGATGCGCGACGTCGACATCCTTTCCTCGATACCGCTCAACCGACCGAAGTGGATACGCGACGTCGGTTTCCTGGTCACACACCGCTCCGTCGACCGAGGGGGGTGCGCGACGTCGACATCCTTTCCTCCTCGCGCTGCGCCGCTAACACCTATGATCGCGAACGCATACAGAGCGTAAGATAACGGTGACGACGAGCGCCTTTAAACCAGCCAGGAAAACCAGGATAGATAAACAGATTAAAGCCGATGAGGCAACGAACTCCGAGCGACGAACAATAGCGTATCAGGAAACAATCCCGACCGCGTCTCGCCGGACGCTCGCGCGCCTCGACGCTCGCAGCTGATCGCGAGACGACAACAACGGCTCACGACGAGAGCAAAAACGCGACCACGCGCCAACGGCGTAACGTCGTCTGTAAATAATTGTAAATAGCATTGAAATTAGAATATAGTTCCACATTATTATAACCGATACCACTGGTTTTCATTTCACAAACGAAACCCGGACCACACCGGCTAAGACTATCCCGCACGTAACGCAAGGCCGTTACATTTTTATAATATTTATGTATATTATATTATAATATATATATGATCTATTGAATCTAAGGTCATAAAAATATTTATGAAATATTTTGGTAAATATTTATAAAATAATCAAATAAATTTTGTAAATATTTTGTAAATGTTTTAAAACTATATTTTATGCTGTCTGGATGTGTTTCTGCCGTCAGACTGCACACGGCAGTATCTGCAACGTTTCTGCTGCCATCTGCCGTCAGACTGCATACGGCAGGATCTGCACATTTTTTGCGATCAGCTGTCAATTGATTTTGGCAGGCGCTGCCAGCAGATTGTGGGTATAATGTGTATACAGTTGGTGCCAATCTGCTATAATCCTTTGATCGAATCTACCGTCAGTCTACCGACATACTGCTGACATTTTACTATTAGGGATTAGATCAAATTGAACAAAAAAAAATTCTTTACCATTTTGCAAATGACTATTGTTTCGGTTTGACCGTGCTTGAGTCCGGACTATTGGATCACCCAGCGGAGAATGCGTGAGCGCTCTGAAGGCGTCGCAAAGGCGTCTCTTGGGGCGTAACGCAGAATGAGCAGGACGGAATTGAAATGAATACCAGAATATTACCAACAAAAAAAACTTTATTCCGACCGTCCGACAGTACTTAAGGCCGTCGCTCGTGGTTGATTCACTGGATGGCGTAAATTTTCGACGCTGTCTTGACATGGCGGCGCCGCAGTAGCAAATCGAATCGGCCGTCGAGGACCACGAGTTCGACGCGTGGAGATTGAGATTTTACACAGTACAAAACGAGTATAAGACAGAGTCTGTCTTTCTCGAAAAAGCTGCTCAGTTAAATAGCCGTTCAGATCGGTACACAGCACGCGCTAATTTAAATTGTGCCGCTGCTTTAAATTGTGCCAGTTAAACGTGATTATAATCGATACAAAACGCAAACGGTTGCAATGTTTTGGTTTTCGATCGCTATTGTGCCGGCTGTTTCGCATCGCGAGACAACAGGCACTCGGCTTGCAAAATGTCGTAACAAATCGACGATGACAACAATCGAGCGATTAAGCATTGAAATAATCGTAAATTCTTCCAGAGAATTATTGACGAGAATTCTTTTGAATATTATTCTGCCTGTTGTTCCGAATACATAACAACTATATAGATTTTTTGATATTAATTAAAGAAGATTTGCACGTTATCACGCATAATCATGTAACACTTTTTTTATTAATAACTAAAAATCTATTGGAACAACCAAAAAATACAGTTGGGACTAAATTGGGCCCAACTATATTTTTTGGTTGTTCCAACACGAAGATAGTAGTAGTAACATGCATATAAGGTTATTATCACTAAAATTATAGTACAAATGACTAAAAAATGACTAAAAAATGGTTGTCTTGACCATAATTTATAGTAATTATTTCTCTATATGATTATATATAGTTACAAATACCAAACATTTCTCTCTCAGTGTACTATCATGTGTGTGTGTTTGCTACGCTGCATCAGCTCGTCGGAAATCTCTTCTTACAAATTGATACACTACATTGACAAGTAAACCTACGGAAGTGTCACTCTCCGATTTTTCTGAAATTTGGATATGTTATAATACATGAAAAAGTAAGGGACACGTATTTTTTTTTAGCGGCGGAAAAACATATTTAGGGTATGAAACGACCCTCCCAAAATAGGAGGTAAAATGGAAAAATTGCGATATCTTTGAGATCAGTGAAGCGATCTTAATGATTTTTGGTATGAAAGTATCTTTTGATAGAAGACGAAAATCGGCCTAGGTATGTTGGAGAGGGAGTGAAAATTAAGGAGCCAACTACCTCTAAAGTGACCAATTTTTTGCTACAAAAAATCAGTTTTGATCTAATCGAAGTGAAATCTATTAAAAC